TTTCAAACTTTAATGTCGGGTTATATGGTAATTTCAAGATGAAATTGACTTTAGACCAACCATGACATTGTGGTCTTATCATGGAGTCATGTATATGACAACGGGATTATCACAATTAATTAATTATTTAAAAGAGGGACCCGCCAAATGTAATTCGGGCTAATCTATATATATATAATTGCTAGCATATAAGCATTAAATTAAACCTATTAAATTATACCTATGTGGCAATATAGTTTTTCCCTCCAAAAACCGTTACTTTTTATTTATTTAACCTCTCATTTAATTATTAGATAATCAACAAACTAATCACTTCAAAATACAAAAATAATTTTAAACTTTTGATTTAATTACAGCTACCATATAATGTGTTGACTATTTAACGTGATTAGATGTTATTGTTGTTGTTACAATTAAATTAACTTCTTTTGAAAAATAAAAAAAATACTTAAAATTCCTAAATAAATAATAAATAATTCATAAAAAATACATACCAAAATATACATTACATCCAATATGATAAACGCAATTTACAAAAATAAATATTCCAGCACTTTTAAATGTAAATTTGGCCGACCAAAAGTGCAAGAAAAATTATTAATCACTTATGCATCCAAATAACTCATAATACTTTATTTATATCAGTGCAAATGCACAGGTCGAATACTAGTATATATAATTTCTAGCTTAGCATTTAATTTTACCTATTTAATAACACCTCTAAAATTTTTCCTCTATTTTCAGTTACAAAATTTATCATTAATATTTTTTTACTTCTCACATTAACACATCCTATTAAGTGTAATCATGTATTTTTCTATTATATTATATAATAGTTATTGCTAATACCAACTAATAATAATTCACAATAAATATAAATTACATAATTATAAACAATTGTTTCAAGTTATTTATATTAACACCAATATTTTCGTTTTCTTTTGTATCGCATGAAAGAATTTCTTTAAAAACAGTTATTAACTTATTTTAATAGTATAATCAAACAATTTTAGAAGCTTATAAACAATTATTTTAATAATAATAATAATATTAATCAAACTGTTATTATCTAATGATATAAAAAAAATTTCATAATAATAAAATCGTTAATTTATTTTTCCTAATAATCAAAATTTGGAGAATTTTTATATTAAGTTCTCAAATATTACTTACTAATATTTTTTGACATCTGTGCATGTACACAGGATATCTACTAGTGATTATTTATTTTCCGGAAAATATACCAAAAAACACAATATAAATTCCCGAAAAAATACTGAAAACCTACAAACGAATATGTAATTATCAATAGTGTGTACTGTGTAGTGTGAAGTGTTAAGCTTTACCCCTTTCTCTGGTTCTCACACGGCGCCTATAAATACCGTACCTTTCCCATACTTTCTTCTCCCCTGTCAACAAATTCATCAAAAAACAGGGCCTCTCTCTCTACTATAAAGTATAAATTTTCACTGTATTTTCACCCCCTTCAGTATATACGCATATCCGTGTATCATACAGCTGAAAAGCTTATATCTGCACACACAGCCAAAAATGGACGCTTATTCGCTGCATCTAGCAATGGCGGCACTATTCGGAGCGTCGTTCGTGGCTGTCTCGGCGTACTATATGCACAGGAAAACCCTAAACCAGTTGCTTGAGTTTGCTAAGGCGATAGAAAGTGGCAGAGAGGACGCGGCGGCGGGGGAGGACGGCGGTGGTGCGGCGGAGCTCGTGAAGGAGTATCCTACCAGGCGGAGGAGGAAGGGGGATGGAGGGTACTACCGCCGCGGTTCGGCGTCTTTGCCGGACGTGACGACGTTTTCCGGCGGCGGGGTGGGTGAGGTGGACGAGAAAAGGAATGGTCCGGTGCACGTGGATGGTATTCCGTTCGGGTTGCCGAGGCTTCGCACGCTCTCTGAAGGTATAATTTTGTCTCGATTTTTACCCAAATGATTGATTGATGGGCCAAACTTTATTTAACTACTTGCCTGCAACCTGAAAAAGCTTTCTTGTGGTGGAATAAATCCGCGAATGATTTGATATGCATCAAGCTAGTGCGAAATTGTACTTATTCGATACTTGTACTAATTGTGAGTGCTTTTTTCAGACGGATAATACATTTTCTTAATAATATAGTAGCTATGCATTGCAAAGCTAACATTTTGCTGTCTGCTGCCTGTATTTACTGCTTCTATTGCTGAGAGCTCTAAATTTGTTCATTTCTTAATTTACAATTTCTCAACTTGGTTTAACATCAGTGCCTTTATAAATTCAGGGAACTCTGGTAATGCGAGTTCAACAAACAGAGTTGGACATACCCCTAAATCTCCTGTTGCCAGTGCATTTGAAAGTGTAGAAGGTTCAGATGACGAAGAAATTATGACTGATAGTGCTAAGCTAGACACTACATATCTTCATGCTAATGGAAATACAGTGAGTTGGTTTGCTGTTAAATGATTTCTAAGGCTCCTCAATTCTTTGTTTGCTTTCTATCACTTGAACAAATAAACATGACTACTTGCACAGGCGGCCTGCCCTCTTTATCATTATTCATCCATAACGCCATTCTTTAAGCACTTGCCTGCTGCAAAACTTCTTTATTTAATTGGATTCTTGAACGACCTCTGACTGGGAATGCTTGTTACAGAATGTATCTGAGCCTATAAATGCAAATGGTGAAGCAATTGCCGTTGCTGCAAGCATGATTCGTTCTCATAGTGTATCTGGTGACCTGCATGGAGTTCAACCTGATCCTGTAGCTGCTGATATTCTAAGGAAAGAACCAGAGCAAGAGACTTTTGTGCGATTGAGAATTTCGCCTACTGGTATTGCCCTCATTGCCTTGTTTTGATGTATCTAGTTTCACTAATTGATGAGTGGATTAGACTTTGGCTGATTCGGAATCCTTCAACAGCTGTGGGGTTTAACACAGCTGAATGTTGTTTCTTCTACTTGCCGTGATGATTTCCTTATTGGGGAAGGTTACATTCTAGCTTCATTTATTGCTGATTTCATCTCTCCCCCTATAACCCTTAGCTTGCTCTAATTCGACCTTTGTGACTTTGTGTTTATGGTGGATGCGGAGTTTTCCTTGTTGCTCTTATCAGCATATGTCAATAGTTTCCCTGCCAACTTTGATTGTTTTTCGGATATATAGATTTTTTTTTTTTTTTCTGTTTTCTTGCTCACTACTTTTCATTCTTTATAAATTTGCAATTTTTAAGCTTAATATTTTGCTTGTATTTGTGGTATTTACTTTTTGTTTTGCTTTCTTCCCAATTGATTGATGCCAGAGATGCCGTCTCTGGATGAAGCGGAGGTCTATCGTACATTGCAAGATTGCCTAGAATTGCGACAATGTTATGTCTTTAAAGAAGCTGTTGCTCCATGGGAGAAGGAAATTATATCTGATCCTAGTACTCCAAAGCCGATCGAGAATCCATTTAATCATACTCCTGTGGGGAAGTCGGATGTAAATCTTCTCAGCCAAATAACATGAATACTGTGCTTCATCTGATCTATCCTAATTTCTCCGAACTTTTGCTTTATAGCATCAAACTATTTAGCCACCTGCGTTTTGATGAACTGATTTAAATTCCTGCAGCACTACTTTCAAATGGAAGATGGGGTGGTTCATGTTTACGCGAATAAAGATTGTAAGATGCGAGAAAGGTTGACTTTATTCTTCCAAATATATTTCTGTTTTGTCTGATGTAGCTATTTTCCTCTCTAGCAAAAGAGAAACTTTTTCCTGTGGCTGATGCCACAACATTTTTCACCGACCTGCATCATATTCTTAAAGTCATAGCAGCTGGTAATATCCGAACTTTATGCCACCACAGGCTGGTTCTTCTAGAACAGGTTGATGATTCTTCCAATTGTGGATAATGTGTTAGTTGCTTCTGTTTGAATTAATAATTCATCTGATGCTCTCAAACATGTATGTTAACTCAGAAATTCAACCTTCATCTGATGCTTAATGCGGACAGAGAGTTTTTGGCTCAGAAAAGTGCACCGCATAGAGATTTTTATAATGTTAGGAAAGTTGACACACATGTTCATCACTCTGCCTGCATGAATCAGAAGCACCTTCTAAGGTTTATAAAGTCGAAGTTGAGGAAGGAACCAGATGAGGTAATACTTTGTTGTCTAGTGTCTTCACTCTATTTTCTTTTGAAACTGGTATGCATTACTTTACGTAATTGTAGGTTTATGCCTTGATACTGCTTTATTTGACGAGTTCATTTCTCATTTTTAGGTTGTTATATTCCGAGATGGGACATATCTGACCTTAAAAGAAGTGTTTGAGAGCTTGGACTTAACTGGGTAAGAACACAGCTTTTGTAATTATACTAGTGGGAGAAGAAAGAGTTTTTAAGATACTTAAATTTAGCCAGTTTCATGTTCTGTTCATAGCTCCTACTCAAGCTGATGACTATCTTATATTAATAAAAATTGACAGGTATGACCTCAATGTTGATCTTCTGGATGTTCATGCTGATAAAAGCACCTTTCATCGCTTTGACAAGTTCAATTTGAAGTACAATCCCTGTGGTCAGAGTAGATTGAGAGAAATATTTTTAAAACAAGATAATCTCATACAAGGTACATTCCCTTGTTTTCATCAACCTGATGGGACATTATAGTTAATACCCAAAAGGTCATTGTAATTTGTGGGCCAATGTATATTGAAATTGCACACCAATTATTTAGGCATTAGACAGCATTATCAATTTAAGCAAGGTCTGACATAATTTGATTGTTACTCTGATTCTTTTCTGCATCTTTATCCAATGACATGTTTTTGTTGATGGACTTTCAAGTTTTTAACTAGTTATTTTTTTAACAGGTCGTTTTCTTGCTGAATTAACTAAGCAAGTGTTTACAGATCTGGAAGCAAGTAAATATCAAGTGGGTCTCTGATAACCTGATTGATGCATTTTTTCTATTGGATGCTTAATTTATGAGCAGCAAAAAGTTGATTTGTTTAGTGGTTTACTGGTGGGAGGAGGTAGAACTTAGTTGACTATTTGACCTACTCTTCAAATGTGTTACATTCACTCATGCCCCGTTTAAGTTATTTGTACCACGAGCTATTCATTTACTACCTTTCATTATCCTAGCATTTGCTTTTTTCTCTTTTATATCTTTTTGTTGATTTTTATGTCTTTCTTTTAGTGTGTGATTTTTACATATGCTTAAACAGATATGGAACTATCTCTCAACATGTAGCATTTAAGTGTTTCCGTGTTGCTGGAAGTCCATAGTAAACAGATATGGAACTATCTCTCATCGTGTAGCCTTTAAATATTTCCGTGTTGCTGGAAGTCCATAGTGCGTGGGCTATGATAATATATGCTGCTGAGGACATATCAGGACGTAGTTTTTAATATTCTGTTTGTTGAGTGTTCTAGTTTTAGTCTCTAAGGTTGTTGTATTACTCCTGTGCAGATGGCTGAGTATCGAATTTCAATATATGGCAGAAAGATGAGTGAGTGGGACCAGCTTGCAAGTTGGATTGTAAATAATGACTTATACAGTGAGAATGTTGTATGGCTAATTCAGGTAAAAAAAAGTAGTGTATTCACTTCTGTTTAATATTGCAGCGAGTGCTGATATTCAAATCAACCACTGGTGACCATATGGTTAATGGGTGGTACATTTCTTTTAAATGATAAGTTGTACATCAGTTTCACCCCGAGCAGCATCTAGGGAAGCAAACATTTGCTTGGTGATATGCATCTCTTGAAATCTAGACTATCAATTTTAAGCATCACATATATGCAGAAGGGTGCCACATTATGGACTTTAAGAGGCCTGACGGATATGGAAATTATTTGATGCATCTATTGTGTTATATGTGGACTCAGTCTAGCTAAGCATCATTAATGAGAATTTATGATGAGAAAATGATGACTACATAGAGGTGTCTCTTGCCACCATCTCAAATTTATTACTGATATGTCAACTACTGAAATCTTTTACCTCATGGATAAATTTTAGGCTCAGCTTTCAATTGCATGTGGGGATGTTGGTAACTTGTATCTTCATCTTCAGATATTAATGACCTTAGGCTAGTAATTTATTACATTGACATAAACAGAAAAAAGATCTATTGACGATATTAATTTGACTGAATTAATATAACATTGGCTGAATGTGATAATATGGTATACTGCCATGTTCAAAGTTTGAATTTGCTTTAGTGTTTTAAACACATAATTGCAAAGAACTCATACTTGTCAATGCCCTCATTTGCATTAGTTTCTATGCACCATGTGGGGATATATATCTTTTTGTTTTCAGAAATACAAATTATCTTATTTATATTGTTGGAATAATCATCTAGCTTCCAAGACTCTACAATATATACAAGGAGATGGGAATCGTGACCTCATTTCAGAACATCCTCGATAACATCTTTCTGCCATTATTTGAAGTTACTGTTGATCCAGATTCACATCCACAGTTGCATGTTTTCCTCAAGCAGGTCTGTTGATTCCATCTTATTGGTATGAGCATATTATGCTATATCCAGATAACTTGTATATGAGGTTCTCCATCAATATTTTATTGAACAGCAAATTATTATGACTGAAGAGGTGCAGTTTTTCCCTTGGACTTGTTCTAAAGTACCATGTTCTTGTCTTATACAGGTTGTTGGACTGGATCTTGTGGATGATGAAAGCAAGCCAGAAAGGCGGCCTACAAAACACATGCCTACTCCAACTCAATGGACCAATATATTCAATCCTGCATTTTCGTATTATGCGTACTACTGTTATGCTAACCTTTACACACTGAACAAGGTGTGTCATGATATATATATATATATGGAGCTTCCTCTACTTTTGCTTACATGGAGAAGATAATCTTTGTACCATGAAAGTTTTCGAAAATCTTCCCCTCACAAAAAGTGGGGGTAGAGAAATACTGGAATGGGTCTTGCTATTCTAGTTATTTATCTTCTATTTATGAAAATTAAACTTCAAATTTGAATTGTACATTTTCAGCTTCGCGAATCTAAAGGTATGACAACTATCAAGTTTCGACCTCATTCTGGAGAGGTGGGCAATTATTCTCATTGTCACATTCTTTCACGGTTTATGCATTTTCTGACATATATCACACGATCAGGCTGGTGATATTGACCATCTTGCTGCAACATTTCTCCTTGCACACAATATTGCACACGGGATTAATCTAAGGAAATCTCCCGTGCTTCAGTACTTATACTACCTAGCCCAGGTAAGTAACAAACATGGAGAAAGAAACCCGAAAAATAAGGGTGTGTGTGTTTATAAAATTATCCAATTCATAGTCAAAATCTAGCTCAACTTTAACCCAACTCCACTATCTTCAATATTACTAATATAATTAAATAATACCAAACAATCATTCTTATACATCACATCAATTTTAGTTCACTATCTATCCACTCACATAACTTTAACTAACCATCACTTCACATCATCTCTTACTTTTACATCAAATCAATTTTAATTATTTTATTTTAAATATTATTTTAATATAATCTCATCTCACTAACAACTAAACATACCAACTTTTTTAAAATTTAACTCTGGTAAACCAAAAACTCTCATTTTGAGCGGATGTATTTGTATACAAGCACACCTTAAATATCTGCTTGGTCAATTTTGTGGTTGTTTATATCTGTACTGGCGTCTGAATTCAGATTGGTCTTGCCATGTCTCCTTTGAGCAACAACTCTTTATTCCTGGACTACCATCGTAATCCTTTCCCTATGTTTTTCCTTCGGGGGCTCAATGTATCCCTATCAACTGATGACCCGCTACAAATTCACTTGACTAAAGAACCTCTGGTAGAAGAATACAGTATAGCGGCCTCTGTGAGTTTTTACTCAATCTGGTTTGTCAAGTACATGAACTATTAAAAATGTTCTTCGTTGATTACATTTATGATATTGCAGGTATGGAAGTTAAGTTCGTGTGATTTATGTGAGATTGCTCGTAACTCGGTGTATCAATCGGGATTCTCTCATGCGTTAAAGGTCAATATTTCAAGAAATTGCCATCAACTTCATGGTGTTAAAACTTTAATTTTGATTAATGGGTCCTTTATTGTTCATTGGATATATATGTATTTTTTTATACAGTCACACTGGATAGGAAAGGAGTACTTCAGGCATGGTCCTGATGGAAATGACATTCATAAGACAAATGTACCTCATATTAGACTCGAATTTCGCGACATGGTATGTGCTTGAGACCTCAAATATTAATTTCCGAATATATAAAGTTCAGCTTCGTAGAATCATGAACTATGAAATTTTATTGCTTTTAGATATGGAGGGAGGAGATGCAGTTGGTATACTTGGGAAAGGCAGATCTTCCCAGGTTTATGGATCCCTGATGTGCTTGCCTTTTTTGCATCCCATGGATTTACTCGACTGGCCAAGGTAATTATGATATTGCATCCTAGTTAATTCACTTTGCTTAGAAGTTATTTGCGCTCAATTTTCAATCCAATTCAAGTTAATTATGAAATTGCATCCTAGTTAATTCACTTTGCTTAGAAGTTAGTTGCACTCAATTATCTGTAGTTCGCCTTGTTGACCAACAAAATCTTACAAGAGTTCGCAAACACTCTCTGTGATCATTTTCAAACTCTACTCCTTTTTCTCTCTCGTTATCTCTTTTGTTCGTTTTGCCCATAAACTTCTAAATAATGTATTTTTGTCTCCTATTTCTTAAATTTACAACAATTGCTTCATGCTTGTGAATACAGGAACAAGGCCTGTCAGGTTATTCCGTTATTGCTTCTTGTAGTTGTTAAATGAGAGAAAATCAAAAGGCTCTGTTCTAGCCAATTCGGTTTTCTTGCTTGGGAGAAGAATTTTCAATAGAACTTAGTCGGGATTTTTCTTGTCTGGTTAATGTAAAAGAGCGTTGAGTGAGATCAAAATACAATCCACTGTCATAGCTTAAATTTTCTCATGGTACACCCTTTAGTGTAATATATATGTAGTTCAGTGTGGTGTGTATTACCAACGAGCTGAGTGTAATACTTACGCCTGCCTAATAAACAAAATCTTTCCGAAGTGAAATGCCATTTTTTTGTTGTCAAGAGGGACTTTTGAGTTTTGAAGTACTTGGTTGATTTTCTGTTCTGCTTCTTTATGTTCTTTCCAAAGGACTGCACAAAATTCATTGAAAAAATATGAAACTCTTGAGTGGTTCGATTATATGGTGCCAATATTATGATGATAGTAAATGAGATTATTTGCTTTTGGTGAAATGGTGATTAAATAGTCATTGGTGGTTTTGAGATAGAGGAACCTAAAATAGTATGTTTGCTACATGGCTTTGTACTGATGAGACTGAAGAGATGAAATATGCAGCAAGTACATTTCGCACAGAAATGCTTTTACAATGCCCGTTTATGGTTAGGTCACACTATTACTTTGAAATATCATTTCAATTCAGATTAGAAACAAAAAAAATAAGATTAGATATAAACATTTAACTCAAATGAGAAACAAAATAATGTACATAAAAATATAGATCTTTAGATTAGAAAAAAATTGAAAAGCCTTTTTTTAGTAATATAATTTGGAGGGAAAAATATTATCCTTTATATTACATAATTTATCTTTAAAAAAAAATATATCCAACCAGTGGCCAAAAGACAATGGCTTGCAATGAAAAGAAAAAATGTCCACTAACATTAGAACATGGCACTAAGACCCAAATAGTCATAAAAACCTTGATGCTAATTACATAAGGTTTTCATATCCAAAACCCATTATTAGCGCACTACATAATTAGGCAACACAACTGTTCTAATAATACAAAATTGCCAACACAAATGCTCGTATCTCCAGCAGAAATCCATCATAGCTTCATCGTCATCGTTGAAAATGGAGGAAATGTGAGAGAAATATACAAGTAGCTGAGAGCATCACTGGTTCTTGAATGACTGCAAGCGAAGAACACAGTTCAAGTTAATAAAGGTGACAACTTCAGACGAGGGGTGAAAAAACCAAGGTAATGTGAAAAACAACCTCGAAGTTTTTAGAGACATCCTTAACTTGCTCGGCTAATTCTTTCTTCTTTCGAGCAGCTGCATGATGCAAAACACAATATGAAATATGAAATCAAAATGCATCTAAATGAAATTTATATAAAATAAAAGAATACCTATATCAGATAATTCATCCATCTTCTTTGATGTCCTCACTGCAAACCTCTGGAATCTGGGACTGTGTTTAAAAGTAATATAATAAGTTAGACAAATAGTTCACACATAAACCAACGGAAAAACATGCCACTCGGAGTACTCAATCACTTAGACCATCTCCAACCGAAAAACCTATACTCAAACCCATTTTGCAGTAATTATCCCATTTTGCAGTAATTCGTCTCCAACCGAAAAACTCATTCTCAAACCCAAAAGAATATTCTCAGAATATTCTCTTTTATACCAACTTTTATAACTTTTCAATATTACCCACGTATTTTACAACTTTACAAATTAAACCACACTATTATTTTAAATTCAATTAGGACTTTATGTAATTTAAATTAATTATACATAATAAAATCGAAGAAATAAGTTTCATTACAAATTAAAATTTTAGCACACAAATAAACTTTTTTAAGAATATCCTATAAATATTTTACAAATACTTTCATAAAATTTTTTATTCAAAGGAAGATCCTAGAAATATTTTACAAATACTTTCATAATTTTTTTTATTAATATTTATAGAATGCTCACACCCTACAAATATATAAATTTATTTGTGTATATTTCACATTTTTTTAACATTTCTTGTCGTTACATGTAAAATAAAAACATGTATGAATATAAATTAGGGATAAACAAATATATTTAGTGCACTTGCTTTTTATTGTACAGTTTATATAAAAATAACAACTTTATACCTTCCCAACATTTATATTAAAGTATTAAACTTTTATATAAAAAATTTGTTCATGAATTTTTACATATATTAAATTTTAGATTAAAAAATAACAACTTATTGACAAATCATAAATGATGGTAAATTAAACTAAAACTTAATATTTGAAAATAGAAGGGCCAAAACACAAATAAAAATTTTTTTGCGTACATGAACAGTAAAAACGCATATATGCGTTTGATAGGATAGAGAAAAGGGCCAAAACCCATTTTGGGTTTGCGTTTGGGTACCGGTTGGAGCATTTTTTTTGAGATGCGATTGGTTTTGGGGTACGGTTGGAGTTGCTCTTATACCCTATTATGCATCATAATTCATTATTTCTTTAAGCTTCAAAACGATAAAGTTTATACAACAGCGAAAATAATTTTTGTATCTCAATTCAATGATAGATCACATATACCATTTACCTAACAGGGTCTACAACAGCATTCAACAGGAGGCCATTGTAAGAAGCCTTGAAAGTCAGAATAAGGAAGGAACAACAAAATTTGCAATAATAAAATTACCTAATTGCATGCATAAAAATAACAGATATGCAGTGGACCTCAATCTCGAAAAGATGAAATATTTATTAAACATATAAAACAACAAAATTTAACAGAATTTTCTTCCCTCCAGTGCATATTGACAATTCAGCAGGGCATTTTGCCTTCACAAGAATTTATCCAACAGTAAGACCAAGATCGAATTTTTATTCCATACAGTACATATTAAGAATTCAGCAGATTATCGAGCATGTTAAAATGAGACAAGCTGTACAGAAATGTTTAATCATAAAACAGGTATTATCAACAATGGCAGATCATAAATAGCTGCTCATAAATAAATTAAAAATGTAAGTATGCCTCAGCCGATAAAATTTGACAAGAAGCAGCGATCATCTCCGCAATCATTACAAGCCTACGGAAGTCATCATCGGCCAATTAAATCGAACTTTACCCATCCAACACAAAATACATAACGAATTTTAATTAGTCTGAAAATGTCACAAAAAAATTAAAATTGCAAAAAAAAAAATAAAAATAAAAATGGAAGCTTTAAGATGATATCAACTTACCTATTTGCGAGTCCATTGACAATAAGCTCATTCGCGAGATAAGAGATCACTCTGTGAATGAAATTTCCACCTCCGGCCATTTCTCGGGAAGAAGAAATCAAGCGAGGGACAGATAAAGGATATTTCAAAGGTTTGTTCGATCAGATTACCAATACATGAAAAGAGAGAAAGAGAGAGGAAAAAAAATCTCGTCGGTACCAAATACGAACAAACCCTAGTTCCCGATTCTTCGACAGCTGTAATGGCGGACGACGACCAATGATATTGATATCATGGTTCCACGATTTGGGAGTATATGGTGGGCTGATGGGCCTGTCGTTTAACGCTCACTATAACTGGACTTAAAGTTGGGGCCGTTAATTCAAACTATTTTGAGGAGAGTCCAAAAGTCGTTTTAGGTCAATATCTTTCTTCGTGCAATATTATGTTCACCGCTTAAATTTGTTACTTTCCCCAATAAAATCTCTAAAACCAAATATAAATTAAGAAATTACTTTCTAAGTATAAATATGGCGATTATGCTCCACCAAATAAAGTCCGGTTCAAGTCGGGTGAGCTCAATAAAACCTCGATTGAGTTTGATGACCCAATTGCCAGAGATGGAGCAATCATCAGCGAAGTTGTTGACCTACAAAATGAGCTGCGAAGTCCTTTCGACGTTAACACTCCAACGATCAAGTTAGTAAAGGTTATAGAGATAAATAAAGATCATAACTAGTTGCAGAGATTAATATTGAGGAAGTGGAAGAAAAAATGTAAGCATGATATTACCTTCTGTTTAGGTGGTGATGTTACTCTATTTCTTGTCTTGGTACACCAAGAAAGTATTGCCCGAAAACACAACGGGTTGCCCAAATTGGCTGGCCTAAAGGGATAATTACCCTGATGAATTGCTTAAGATTCGTTTTTATCCTCATGACTCTGATTACTTATGTCCGTATTGTTGTTCTCAATTATCGAGTTGTTTGGTTAGCTCTAAGTAGATGGTCTTCTTTGGCTCATTTCAACAACCCCGATCATGGGTCGTTTCATGAGCTTAGGTTGTTTTTGCTCACTTGGGACTAGGACTGCACACGAACCGAACCGCTCGCACTGCTCGAGTCAAAGCTTGGCTCGAGCTCGAGCTTGGTCGAACTCGAGTCAAGCTCAAGCCTAAATTTTGTCTTGTTGAGCGGTTCGCAAGCAACTCGAGATATATGTTAAATTAATAAAATACTCCTTGTATATATATATATATATATATATCATAATATTACTATATGACTTAATGGTAATTTTACAAAATTGCTTGAAAAAATTTGAACCGAACTCGATCCGAGCTCGAGCAGCTCGAGCTATTGTATTTTTTCTATCAAGTCGAGCTCGAGCAAC